GAGTGTCCCACATTTGGGGCGATCGCAAAGTTCAACCCAACCGGAGTGTAATGGAAGGGCCTCTGTCTGGGAGAATATTGTATGAATTTTAGTAAATATAAAATCTTTTTTTATTTTGGGATGAATTAACAGAAAAAATCCAAAACGGGAATTGTTTACAAATCTTTCTAATAGCATGAAGAGTAAAAGAAGACATATCCTCATCGGGACAATCCTAACATTTTAACCAAAAGTGTTTTGGCTGTACATTATTTACATTATTCGGACTATTGTCCTCATCTTTGTCGCCATATTTATCACAACGTTTCGGCCGTTGTACGCTCCGGCCTTCTTCAGGTGGTTGGAATGTCGAACTGAACCCGTTATTTCGCTCACTGCGGTAGACTGTTCTAGTTCCACGTGCCATGTTTTGATGGATGTCGGTTATCAGTTATCTCCTGTTAATTTTCCCTCTGAAATTTCTCCACTGCCTTAACCGGGTATTGAACTCACACTCTTTGGGTCCTGTCACTGGATCTAACCAACGCCTTTATCCACTGTGCCATGTGTTCTTGAGGAGGCCTGAAGAAGGCCGGAGCGTACAACGGCCGAAACGTTGTGATAAATATGGCGACAAAGATGAGGACAATAGTCCGAATAATGTAAATAATGTACATAATACCTCATCTCGGAAATATAGACAGTGTTTTGGCTGATTAAATGAAAATAAAAAGATATATTTTTTTTTTTTTTACATCAAAAAATAAATAAACCTTTTTTGTTTTGTCGCTTTCAATCTTTCAAGCAACGTCTTAATTTTATCTTTACCTTTCTCGACAAAAAAATAAAAATAAAATACTCTTGCTAATTTTTAATTTCATTCTTCTTTGTCTTTATGAGTCGTGTCTCTTCAGGACGTAGATGATCTTGACTCTCCACAACTTCCTGTTCTTCGTAGCGCTTAATATATTTTATAGTTTTTAATTTCTGTAAAAGCCGAAATAAAAGGTCAACCAAAGGTCTAGTATATGTTTAAAAAAAAGACTGACTAGTGAAAACCCACTGTGTAATTATGGATGTGCGGGTTATCAGATCGAATAGAAAAAAGGCAAGTCGAGTTCGAATTCCGGCCGAATTTTCCCTTTCGAACAAATGCCCTTTGAAAAGATATGAATCCATCGCTTCCCCTCTCCCTACCTCCAGTCCCACTAGCTATGGGCTAAATATCATGGCGAAATAGTTTATCTAGCTATGGTTGAAATCAAAACCGTATGTAGCCCAGGCAAACATATGTTATACAGCCATAGACAAGATGATGAAGTTCGCAGTTAACTATGATGCGGGGTTGTAGACCGTATTGTAATGACAAAAAAGTACGCAAGTGTAGGCTTTTAGAAAGCTTTATTCAACTGAGAATACAAGGTTCGCGTGTAGTGTCCTTTTATAGTCCCAGTAAACAGAAATAGCTCTATCAAAGAAGAGAGTAACGAAACAAGGGGAGACCACTCTTGATTATTCATAACATGTATTATCTCGACTGAAGTCGTATAAAAAAGAAAGTAACAATTTTTTCCCTGATTCCCAAAGAATCGGCGAGCAGTGTTCAAATCCAGCCTACGAACTTTGAACTGGTTGATCTCCCTCCTGATTCGCTTGATTTGTCCCCATCTGACTATCATCTGTTCACCAACATGAAAACACTTCACTTGGAGCTCTCAGTCGGAAACCCTTTTCCAATTCGGGCCAATATTTGTGGCTCTGTGTGTGGTATATTTTAATAATATTATTAATTAATAATAATAATATTATTAATGCAATATTATGAAAGTCAGCTAATCACAGCTTAAGGCATGAAGAGCACTTTGACGTGATGCAATGGTTAGAAAACTTGCCTCGCTAGATCAATTACAATTGAGTAATGTGTTCGATTCTCATTGGGTGCTCTTTCGGCCATGTGCCAAATCTGAGCTACGCTTAGAAGATCATTTAGGGCAATTCGACATGATGCAATTGTTCGACAATTTGTCATCCATCGGTGCTTGGTTCTCATTGTTGAAGAATCTTTCATCCTGTTCCAAAAAAATCATTTAACAACAGATATGACGTCATAATCACTGTGATACTGGTTCCAAATCAAGTGTTTTTTTTCATGTTGGGGAACAGATGATAGTCAGATGGGTCCAAATCAAGGGAATAGGGAGTTTGATCAACCAGTTTGAAGCTACACTCGCGCACAGCAGCCATTGAAACCAAGGATTTGTTTACTGGAGCATTGTCCTGATGAAACAAAACCCCTATCGTCAATTTAGCCTTGATAGCTATTCGTAAATGTCTCAGTAAGTTGGCATAGTACTCTCAATAAACACAATGCCTTTTCCATCACCAAAAAAACTGAGATCATCACCTTCCCGGTGGATGAAACGATCTTGGCCTTCTTTGGAGCAAGTGACGATAGGTGTTTCCAGTACATGAATCGTTGATAACCCCAACACAGAAATCTTCGCCATGTTAAGTTTATTGTGCAGAATATTCTCAACTCTCTAACGGGATATGATGACAGATTTGGCTCTCTCTCCCTTTCCCTCCGAAATTCAGTTGCCTACTGTTGATAAAGCTGGAACATCATTCCCTAATGTAGCAATCATCACAGTATGAATGTCTCTGGGTGGTAAGTCCTTTTTTTTTTCTTACAGGTACTTTGATAACCCTAGGATGACAAATTTTGTCCGTTTCCAAGAGAAGTCGCTACAAGTTACATTTGAAGTCTTCATTGAACAGTCAGATATCAGTTTACCTGGAAATAAACAATGTAGTTATCAATAAGAAGTGTTGAAATTAATGCCTGCAATATTTGAGGGTTACTCCTTTATAATCAGTCTAGGAACTTTTTATCCCACTCTCGTATATACATAGTTCAACAGAAATACTTTCCAAGTATACCGCACACATAATGATAAAACATCAGCTAGATGAAGACACCATTGCCACTAATGTTTTACCATTATGTGGAATGTATTTTTATCGCCCAGTATCCTAAATATTCCTTGTCAAATTAGGACTTCGTGCTAAATGCCAGGAAATACAATTCAGAAATTACGAATAAAAATGCAAATGATTCTTTTTGTCGCGTGCATAATATATCATATCTGCGACATAATTAATATGCAAATAAATAAATAAATGTTGTCCTTCTCTCTTTATTCGTTACATATGAGGTCACTTTACATTGATTGAAGACTTCGTGCTGTCTATAATAAATATACGTACATATATAAACGAACAATGTTAAGCAATCAATCAATGTCCTGTTGTTGAGGAGGATAAGAATCTTGCAAAACCAACGATGCGTTTGCAGATTCCAGAAGTATCAGGTAAGTTAAGTCGTATATATGCGCATGTGCGCATATAATCGACCCAAAATTCGGCAATTTTGTAATGAGAAAAGGAAGATAACAAACACTTTGACAATCACAACGTGGGTCTACATTTGTATATTAATAATCCATTTTTATTTGGATTGATATTTGCATTTGGTATATTAGTGGCATCACGTCATTTTTTTCTTTCTGTACACACACACACAGACACACACGCGCGCGCGCATATATTATAAACTTGCTTGAATATGAAACTATTCGTAGCTGAGTAGTTAAAGCCCGCTGGTTCCGTTGGCGATTACTCCAGCAAAGGAGGACGCAAGTTCGAATCCTACCGGAAATACTGTTTAAAATAAAAAGGAGCTAAGAAATATATATATATATATATATATATATATATATATATATATATATGATAAAATATAGTTTTATGGTATGCTATATTTATGGGTTAAAATACTTAATATCAGGGATATAGGGTATGTAAATATAAAATTGGGTATTGCCTTCAATGTCCACTTTTATATTTATCTATATGGGGGAAATGTCCTAAAAGTCGCAAGAGCCACTCGAAGTAGTTGGTTACTGACTTGTTTCTGAGGATATATGGGAAAGAAGGATGCTAAGAATATCATGGACCGAGCGTGTGAGCAACGATGAGGTCTTAGAGCGGTTGCAAACATGGAGGAGGCTTATACTTAATATCAGGAAGAGGCAGCTGAAGTTCCTGGGACACATAATGAAGGCTGGAGAATCTGATACTCACGGGAAGAATAGAGAAAAAAAAAGACATGGAAAACAACTGGTGACATACCTGGCGGACTTAAGCATGTGGATGACAGAATGTGGTCTAGGGGAGGAAGCAGAGGGAAGGAACTTGTTGAGAGCTGCAAGGGATAGAGTGAAGTGGAGAGCCATGATCGCCTACGTCCTGAAAAGACATGGCACATAAAAAGAAAGAACAACCCTAGGCTTGAAGAGGTTAAGATTGTAATAATTGGTGAAGCATCCTCTCGGGAGTCTGTTCCAAAAATCGCGATTCTTGAGGAGAAGGTGTCTGAATGGAATTTATTCTTACCAATGAACGAGGAAGGGGATGCGAATAATTTGTTCTGATGTCCCAAACATAGTGGATTTTATCTGTGCAGGTTTGAACTGGTAGAACTAATGAACGTAGCTGCTGAACATTTTCCATGGAAATAGCGATAGAGTAGCAAGAGGTTGCCGATATTTTCTCTGGGAAAAAGGGTTTGTAGAGTGAAAACTATTCGTCACCCTCAAGGCCATATAGAGGCCTTTTAAAATCTATCAAGGATTGGAAAGTTCCTGGCTAAATGTGCCAGCAAATCTTCATTTTTGATCTGATCTAACTCTTGTAAAGATAGTTTGGTTGTTTCGTTTTTTACGGCTTATCAACCTCTTGCTAGTTATTTAAAACCAGATTGTAAAGATTTTTTTAGATAATAAGGATTTAGTGATACAAAAGTTTCTAATATAATAACCCACAGCTGGAGAAGTGGATTCATGTATTTCCCAAGGGTATTTCCGTATAAGTAAATATAACCAACCCAGCGAGAATTTGAACTCGGCTCTCCGATTAACAAATTCCGAGCCATTATCCATTACACCACCCACACATCCAAGCTTACACCACCTGGTATACCCAAGCGGTCACCCATCAAGGTACTGACCAAGCTTGACATTGCTTAACTTTGGCATCGTACGGGAATCGGTGTTTCAACGTGATGCGGCCGTAAGCTTAGATCGCAGAGAGGAAACAAACAGGAATTTAAAGACTGAAACATTGCTTAGACCTATAAGAGAGTGGAGGCTGTGGAGAGACATAATTTATCCAAGTCTAGAAGAGACACAGCTGACAATTTAAACATTTCTAAACGTGTGGGTTGCCATGCATGTGTTTAGAATATAAAATAATACCAACTGTGCGGTTGGATCTTGGTGGGTCAGTGGTAAGGTGTTTCGCTGTTTTATTTCGGTACGGTTTCGAATCCTGCCTCTTTTTTTTTTTTTTTTTTTAATGATAATAAAATATGATTTATAATACAAGGTTTATATGTACATAAAAAAAAACTGGTCGGTGAGCTAGCCCTTGGTGGGGTAGCGGTATGTTCTTACGAATTGGATTTTCCAGTCAGAGTTCGAGTACTGTAATAATCCGTTGTAATGGACTAAAAGCTAAAAGCGTTGATTGCTAGAAGGCGCTATGTTTGGGGGTGGGGAGTGTTCAGCTTTGGATTTGCCTTTTAGGCAAATCCATTGCTGAACACTAGTCATCCGCCAAGCGGACGGGCTTGAAAGTATCAATGTTAACCGGGGGCAAGCTCTTTCCGCCGTCTCAACAGATGACCTACTTTCGTTTCCTAATCTTCAGCTTGTGACCTAATTTCACAAGCAATAGGTTGTTTGACGCTGGGGTTTGAGATTTTCCTAACTTTATTCTCAGTTCGCTTTCCGACCTGGGTTCGAATCATACCAGAGTCGATTTTGTTTTGTTTAGAAAGTTGTTTGTGACGTAACGAAAAGAAAAATTCAGCGTTCGTGCTAAAATCGAACCCGTGATGGTAAATTACTTCGACGTCATAGTGAAGCAAACACTACTGGTAGAGACCACTCGTTAGTCGGGTTGCTGATCGTACACTACACTAGCATTTATGGTTCCTCCCGGATATATTTCAATAGTTATTTTTCGTTGTTCCTGTTTAGCTTGACGGAAGCTAGCCCTGTTACTGTGTGAGAACAATATGGTCGCCAGTTGTCTCTGAGCAGGCGTGTGTCGTTTCAATTGTGGAAAAACCTTTTTGAAACTTTGGTTTTATCTTGAGGTAGGAACAGCTATTTTTTATGTTGATGATTTCTTTCTTTGTTCATTATTTAATTGGTGGTTTAGAAAAATGTGCTAACTTGTGTTTTACACTGGTTAGAGAATGGATGGTAGAACATTTAATGTCAGGGAATATACGCGGGTCTCCGTGCGATTTCCTACGCAAGGGAAATAAAACGTTTCTGTTTATTGGCAGAATACAGTGGCCACTCCTATTTTTCTGTGGAGTGGACGTGTCTTACTACGAAAATTTCTTTTAATTTGAATGTTTTATTGGTTTTCATTTTCGTTATCGGGTTCATCCCCTCATTTCAGGATATATATTTTTGTAAGAAAAATAAAAAGATATAAAATGACAATTTGTACGTTATCAAATTTTTATGTCGTGTTTTTCGCGTAGGATCCCTGTGAATATACGCTATTTTGGTAAATGTCGGATTGGTTGTGGAAGGATGTGTTCTTGTCGTGAATCGGATTAGCTTGTCAGCGATGATTATCCTTTCCCCTTAGACATTGTCCTACATGAGATGCATTATTTCAAAATAAACAAGCTAAACAAATCGTTGGAGTTCATTCATGGTTGTCTATATTATTGCTGTGTTAATGTAGGTGCCTCCACGAAATCGCTAAAAAAGAGCATAGCTTGATGAAAAAGGCGCCAGCCTTGCCGAAAACAAAATTTAATCATCTAAATGCTTATGTTATTATTAAGAGGAAAGACTAAAGTTTTTTTAATTATTTTTTAAAATTTTTCCTTCTATTTAGAATATTCTAAATTTGGATTAAAAAAAAAACTTGTCTCTCTTTGTATCACCGGAACTAGTAAAATAACAATTTTTTTTTCTTTTTGGTATGACACACATTAATATGGAAAATCTTGCAAAAATAAAAATTGTTTCAGGAACTATTCACAGATGATCGAAATTATTATAAATATGTTTTTTTTTTTTATTATTAAAGTCATGGCAGAAATATATATTTTATATTTATCCACTCCCATAACTAATTTTATGAAAACGCTAGAAATTCGATCGCATCGGGTTTAGTGATTACAATAGTTAAAAGCACAAGGCTTGGAGGAATTCTTGCAGAAAATATTGTCCATATTCATAAAAACAACTAAAAGCAAATAAAAGCATTTGAAATTAAATAATATCTTTGTTTTATTGAGTTTTGTATGATACAATTTTTCATTTTATTTTTGATTTTCAGGTGGGGGGGTCCAATTAAAAACAAAAAAAAAGATTTGCATTCCTCAATGCCTTGTGCTTTTAAAACTATTGTAATCACTAAAGTGGACTCGATCGAATTTCTAGAGTTTTCATAAAATTAGTTATGGTGGGGGTAATAAATAGTGGCAACCCTTAAAGAAACATTGCTAAAGGTGTGGTACAGTATGGCTCAGACGATTGTTGATAACTTAATCAAATCCATGAAAAATCGAATCCAAGCACTGAAACTAGCAAATGGAGGATCTACTCTATACTAGTTCCAAATACTGTTTAGTGTTTATGTTGAATAGCGATTATGTAATTAAATTTTGAAATTGAATGTAGTTTATTTCTACTGGCTAAAAACAAAGGTTAATGGAGATGATCTAATAATAAGTCACTTTTATATAATTCCCCAGTCTATTAGTGTCAGTAGCATAACTGACATAGACAGAATCGGCTTTGATTGGTGGAAGTCAGTGGAAAAATGCCATGTTGCTCTTCTTATTTTGCATTTTCCATATCATTTATTTTAATATGATACATGAAAACCCTCACAAAAATGCAACATGTTCGACATCACAAAACACTTAGGTCTGTGTTGTGGTATATTGTCACTAATGCACTTTCATTATTTTCATACAATGAATAAAAACACATAGCCCAATTTTTTTTAATTTTTTTTATAGTTTTTAAGCAACAGACACTGGTTTAAATAATAGTGAACTGTTTGAGATAGATAATGCACAGTGGTAAAGATAGCGAACTTCCAGAGACGAGGAATACAGACCCGGAAGATCCCTAGACAATGACTATATAAACAGGGAGGAAAAGAATGAATTTAGATCAGGAAGATACAGGGGTAGTTACATATGTCACGAAAATATATTTTTGTACTTATTTGTTTAGATTTAGTTACTATTAAATTACGCCTAGACTATATTATTTTGCAATAACAATGGCTCAGTACATATAGTTTTCACAATTTTATATCGGTGAGCGAGGTGTCTCGATAACTTTTATTTGATCCGAAAGGGTCACACGTATAAAAGCTAACTCTGAGAAACCCTACATCAGCAACAGCAAATCTCACAAATGCCCTGGAAACATTTAAGATTCCTCACCCATAACAACCCAACGCCAAACAACATATCTGTGCTCATTAAAGAGAAAATAGTTTTTGAGGCGTAATTACCAGTGAGCGAACGGTCACCCTAAAAAAAAAATAGATTGTCTGGTATTACTATGACTCTTACTGAGCGCGGGTAAATTGGCTGGGATGTGCAAGCGTTCTAATTGTTCCAAATAGGCCACCATCATAATTTACCACTTTTACTATAACTACGGTTCCCATTCCACCCATCTTTATCCAGAACGGAAGTTGGGCATAGCCATCTGTTACTGGTGTTTCTTTTCTTTCTCTTTCTTTTTTTTTTTTTTCTTTCTCTCACTACTTTACCAACTCTTTCTCCTTTTTCATACAATTAATTCACAGCCTTCTTTCTTTTCTTCCTATTGTCTTTTCCTGTTTTTTTTGTTTTTTTGTTTTGTTTTGTTTTTTATTTTTTGTTTTGTGGTTTTTGGGGGGGTTTTTTGTTTGTTTTTTTATTCATTATTTTCTTTTCTCTTACTGTGTTGCCTTCTAAATATTTTTTTTCGTTTTCCATTCGTTCTATTGTTCTTTTTATTTTCCTATTTACTGAGTCATTGTTATTTTTGTTTTTTTCGTCGTCCTTTTTTCCTCTCAATCAGCCATTTTTTTCGCCTTTTTTATTCTCACTTCACTCTCTTCTACAACCTACCCTCTCTTTAAAAGATGAGGATACAGGTAGAGTACTTCTTTCCTCTAACTCCTTTCTGTAAAATTATCCATAGTCTCTTGTTATTGCTCCTCTTCTACCTCAAGCAGACCACTTTGTATTTTTTTACACTTTACACCCAAGCAAACTTTCCACTCAAACGCTCCTAACCGTTTTCCCCTCCTCTCTGTTCTTTTCCAAAATAGTTTTCAGTTCGAACAACAGAGACAGGGAGGATTTTTATTTTACATGTCTAGGCGATAAAAAACAGAAAAAGAAAAAAATGATAATTTAACAAAAAAAAAATACAAAATATTTCACTGTCCTTTTTGTTTATTTATTTATTTTCTGTTTTTGAAAGAACACCATGGCGCGAATTAACATTGTTCTCGTCTGCCTTTCAATTGTTCTTGCGGTTGTGGTCGCCTCGCCCGCTGAAAGTGACATTCCAACTGAAAGTGAGTTCACCATGATATATATTTTGTATATTTCGTTATGATTCCATTTTTTACTTGTGTTTGTTTTATTGATTGATGGTAAGGAGAAATGTTCTTTCTCTATCTCTCTCATTTTAAACATTTTGTCTTCAGTTTTTCTTTCAAACAATGAGAAAAAGCTATTGTCATTATTATGTACATTTAATCTGGTTAACAACAGGCGTCGCTCTCGTTTGAAGTAAAGCATGTCTCTTCAAATCCTTAACGCCTTCCTCGGTGTCCCACTAACCTCATGATCAGGAGAGTTCCAATTCTTACGTTTTATACATTTATTTAAACAAATCTTGACTTTTAGGGGTTCAGCATTATTATTTCCTTTGATTTATGTTGTATACTTATTTCCTTCCTTGTCCAAAACAGAGACTTATAATCAGAAATGGCATGACATTTTCACTGAATATTTTTATAAAAGAAAATATAATTAAAAAAATAACAAGATCCCAACCATTTTACATACATAAAGCCATTCGTAAAGTGTGAGCTGTACTTGCGAAAACAATTTTGTGTATTTCTTTCAAGCAGAGGCTTCTGGGGATCCCTTTAATAAGTATATCAGAATCTTTTCCAATCAAATCAAGCGTTCCAACCACAAATGGAATTACTGAGGTCTGAAGACCTCAGTAATTTTATCATTATTTAAAAAAATATGGTTGTTAGCTGGTTTTGCACTTATTGGATATCAAGCTAAATCTCTCAATATTAGGTATCCAGTACTTTTCTGATTGTTTACTGTTTTTTTTAAACAAGGCCAAAGAGCCACTCAAGGTAGAAAGTTGCTGAATGCGGTTGTTGTCAATGAATAAATGTAGGATGTTAGAATATTATGAGCACGTTTAGGATAGATATCAGTTGACTCTAGGTTAGAAGAGATTAAGATCTCTTGGGAGTCTTCTTCACAAAGAGAATTATGTTTTGAATTTGCCTGTTTTACAAGCTACCTCCAAATTTCAACCAGAGATATGATTTTTGGCACAATTGGTTGCATATGTCGCTGATATTTCCAGCATCATTTTTTTTTTTTGATTGTGTACTTAATATTATCACGTTTTTTGTTTTTGTTTTTTTTACATCCTTTCACTAAGCAAGGCAATAGAGCCACTAAGACACAAGGAGTTGCTGAATGAAAGAAACTAATGTCTTACCATTATGTGGGGGGCATTTCCGCCACACACCTGTATATTCATCAATTTGCAATGATTTATGGCACCTCTTCGATACCATTTTATTAAAATTCCACAGGTTTTCGTGTGAAAACCTTTTTCGGCGAACTCTTGAATCTATTTTATTCTCACATGTAAACGTTTTGCAGCGATCGAAAAAGATAATAATAGCTTGATACAAGGTCAGGTGAAGATGGTTCCTGGGTAAGAACAGACCAACCGTGTTCCAAATATTTTTCTTTTGTTGTTCTTAAATCCCCTGTGTACGCTGCCATTACCGTACGAAAAGATGCATATTTAGATTTCAAATTTATTAACTGGAACGTATAAGTAGTATTTAGGAGTATAGTTTCTTAATTAGAATTTGTTCTTAAAAACGGAAGTTACTTATAGCTCAATTTCACGGAGGTTATATCCATTTGTCTGCTGGATCGATAGTAAATTTAGATACTTTAAATAAATTCAAATGTTACTATCGAGGCTATGGTGAGTAGATGTTATCTCCGCCAAACTTGTTCGTTTTTTGTTTTGTTTTTTTCTTGAGCAGACGAATGTATGGAATCTTTTCCAAGTGAGGTATCTTGATTATAAAATAAAACTGAGCTCCATTTAAGATCACATTGTTTGGTAAATAAAATATTGATGGCGAAAAATGGCTAATTGAACTCTCATCTTGTTTTCTCCATGTCTGATGCTAACCTCCAATTGAGCAACACTTTACGCCTTCTTAGTCTCAGATTTTCCACTGATATGAAATGATTATATAGGATTAATTGATAGGTCTACTGCTAGTAGATAATGTTGCGTATGGTTGTCCTTATTTACAAATTTATTTATACATAAAAAAAATTCAAAATTCTTAAAAATTTGGGAGTTTGTATTAAGCTTTTCCATTTATGATTAGTAAATATAGTTTTTACTTAATAAAAATATCACTTAATTGGTAAAAATGAATACAGAAATTCAAAAATTTATAAATTATTCTAATTTTTTTTTAAAAATGAAAAGTTTTGTAAGACTTCATTATTGATCGATTTTTTTAGACAATAGTGTTCATAATATATCTTATTCATAAAAACAATTAAAAGCTTTCTTAATTGAATAATGTCTTTTATTGAATGTTTTTATTTTACGATCCAGAGCAGATTTTCAGTCATTGGTTTACAAAAAAAAAAAATTATTTAAATTCTCCAAGGAGCTGGGCGTATAAATGATATAAACATTAATTGGTACAAAATTTAATTTTTCGAAATTTCACAAAATTAAAAAAAAATGCTACTATAAAAAAAGAAAAACATTTTTAAAATAATTCAAGACTAGACAGTTTAAACACACACACACACACACACACACACATATATATATATATATATATATATATATTTAAAATTATAATACGTTATAAAATATATATATCATATATATATATATATATCATATATATATATATATATATCATATATATATATATTTATAAAATTATAATACGTTATAAAATATATATATATATATATATATATCATAACAAAAAAGATTATCTTTGTGTTCGAACTGATATGTCATTTTAAACATTGGAATTTATTTCAACCGGCGTATAAATCGAAAAGTCATTACGAAAAAGAAATATACCCCCAGACAGGAATCGAACCTATATTCCTTCTTTTTAATTTAAATATATATACTAGATTGGCGAACTAGGTCCCACCGTTTTACTGTTGAAATAATTAAATACAACAGGAATCGCCTATACTTCTCCCCAACAAGTTTCCACCTTTTTCTCGCCACTTCTCCCCCAACAGTTTCTTTTCTCGCACTTCCCACCTTCCGTTTCCTTGCTTCCCTCATAACTACAGCCTTCAAAAAATTAAATACAATATCAATCACCATCTTCTGTATTCTTGATCCTATTATTCTCAGTGTCCGCTTTCACTTTTTACCCTTGGGGCATTACCGCCTTGCTTGGGTTGAAATTATTTTTTTTTTAAATATTTGAAACCATGAAAGATTGTTTCGACAAAAACCTTAATATAAATCTTTAAGGTCAAGTAGTCTTTGTTATGTTCGATATCAAGAGAGAAAGCATTAATGGTAAGAAATAAAATTAAATTAGGTACCTCCACGAGCTCGCTAAAAAAAGAGCATAGCACGATGAAAAAGACGCCACACTTGACGAAAACAAAATTTTATCGTCTAAATGTTTGTCATTTTTAAGAGGAAAGATCAAAGTATTTTGGGGGTATTTTTTTTCCATTTTTTAATCGTTCCTGGCACGTCCGAAATTTTCTTTAAAATCTTGTTTTGTTTTTTTTTTGAGTCGGCAAAATTGACCATTTTTTTCCCTTTTATAAAAAACTGGAAATCTCACTTTGAAATTCTTTTAAATATCAATTATCATTTTTTCAAAACTTTTTTGAAGAAAATCAGAAATTATAATGTTTATTTAAAATATTTTGAACCAAAGTTGACTTAGCTTTTGCGCCGAAAAGATGTAATTTGAAAATAAAACAAAGCAGGTCATAAACTTTCGCGTCACTTGACAGGTGATGAATGACATATTGACGGATTACGTGAGGATACTTTGTTCTACGGAAGGAGAAAAGTGAAATTATTTACATTTAAGTGAACAAAATTACTTGTTATTTTAAGGAAAACTTTCGTTATTTTTTTTTTGGACAATTAGTTTAGGATGCTTTAGATAATAAATATTAAAAAAATAAATTTCTGAGATTAAATTTTAATTATAAAAAAAACATATTTTTAATACTGCGGATCTTCTGATTAGTCAAAAATCATCTAAATAAAAAGCTAAAAATTGTCTGTTATTTACTAGTTCTGCGATCTGATAAAAAAAAAAGATTTATAACAATTTTTTTTAAATCTAAAATTTTAGTTAATGTTCTACAAAGAAAATGTTCTAAAAAGAAGGAAAAATTTTATTTTATTAAACACTGACATTAATAACAGACTGTCTAGTGATTCTGTACTAAACTCAACTTATATAAATTTAGATATTTACTTGCTATCTGACTCTACCGGTGAACTTGCTCTATTAAAAGATAGTGGCCTCAGATTGTGGTAAGCGGAAAAGACTCATTCTCTCATTCGTGTGCCTGCATTGCTCTCCGAGGGACCGACAAGTGTAAATACTATATTACCCACCACCTCAATTTCACTCACGAATTAATACATTTCAATTACTAGTAAAGGTCAAAGTTCAGCAGTGCCGTTTCGAAAAGTGACAACGATGAGTTTGCGGTTAGCGTTACGAGTTTGCCACGGAACATGGCCCAGAGATCGACATCTATAAACTGAAATGTCAAAAATTAGGGACACCAGTAAACTAAATGGTTTCACTCTCAACTATTTCTGGAAATGGCACATCCACATAATGTGAAGAAGTCGTGTAGCTTCATTGTCACCGTTATTCAGGTGAAGAGAGGCAGTACACGTAATAATCCTGACCCTGTTAAATGCAGTGGAAAAACTTAATGTCTCTAATTTTGGACAAAGGGGCGTGTTAGCGTCAAGATTAGCGTAAGTCAATCTAAAACACCAACATTAAACCTCATAATCGAAGTCAATCTAAAACACCAACATTAAACCTCATAATCGAAGTCAATCTAAAACACCAACATTAAACCTCATAATCGAAGTCAATCTAAAACACCAACATTAAACCTCATAATCGTATTTTTAATAAAAATTTGAAGCCATTCAATTGCGTTCAAAATATTTAAACTTCGGCATTAAATAACCCGTAGAGGTTAATATACCGCTAAACAAAATCGACCATCCAAATAAACAATATCATCTACCATGTATATTTACTTACGCGCTAATACCCTTGGGAAAGGTGTGAATCCTCTTCTTCTGTCCCCAGGACAGACCAGATGGCAACTGGTCTACCGCAGAAAGAAATGGCAGCCATAGTGAAAAATCTGCCTCGTCAGTCATGTATCAAAAGATACATGATCACTTAAGCGTGTATAACGCATGGCACATGACTGATACATATATTCTTGTTCGTTCATAATTATGTATATACATATAAATGGAACCTAAATTTGTGAGCTTGTAAAAAAAATGTATATGGCGCAACGACGTGAAAACGAGGATGCCAGTCTACTAGTGCAGCTAGCTAATCCCCATTGCATACGCCTGCTCGGGCACATTTGTGCTTATTCAACATCTACAAAGCCCGCTTGTGTTTTTATACTGCAGCTATGATGAGCGGAAAGAGCCTGTAATAAGTGTATATTTTGGATATTGTGTTTATTGTTTCAATTTGATTATGTGTAAAGGTAGCTTGTTCTCGTTTCATGGGATATCTTAAGTTATTGCTCGCCCGTTTCCGCTGAGTGCAAGTACACACTGCCCGGCCCTGGGATTGAACTCACAATTACTATGTCACCAAATTCACAGACCAACGCTTTTATTAGTACCAGGATAAGATGATGACAATAGTCCGAATATAATATTGTAAATAATGATAGCTTTATTTACTTGCTATTTACCATCTGTAGATTTTTGAGGAAAAAAATATTACCAGTAATAGATTTTTGACAAAACAAAAATGTTACCTGGAAAAAAAAGTTATCGGCATTAAATGACCCATTGAGGTTGATATACCGTAAAACAAAACAAACCAAACCATCCCTATATCGTCTGTTTTTATTTTTCTCTCTCTTCCCTTTATCGTCTGTTTTTCTTTTTCTCTCTCTCTCTTCCCTTTATCGTCTGTTTTTCTTTTTCTCTCTCTCTCTCTTCCCTTTATCGTCCGTTTTTCGTCCGTTTTCTCTCTCTCTCTTCCCTTTATCGTCCGTTTTTTTTTTTCTCTCTCTTTCCCTTTATCGTCCGTTTTTATTTTCTCTCTCTCTCTTCCCTTTATCGTCCGTTTTTATTTTTCTCTCTCTCTCTTCCCTTTATCGTCCGTTTTTATTTTTCTCTCTCTCTCTTCCCTTTATCGTCCGTTTTTATTTTTCTCTCTCTCTCTTCCCTTTATCGTCCGTTTTTTTTTTTTTCTCTCTCTCTCCCTTTATCGTCCGTTTTATTTTCTCTCTCCTCTCTCTTCCCTTTATCGTCCGTTTTTATTTTTTCTCTCCTCTCTCTTCCTTTATCGTCCGTTTTTGTTTTTTTTTTCTCTCTCTCTTCCCTTTATCGTCCGTTTTATTTTTTCTCCTCTCTCTTCCCTTTATCGTCCGTTTTTTTTTTTTTTTCTCTCTCTTCCCTTTATCGTCCGTTTTTTTTCTCTCTCTCTTCCCTTTATCGTCCGTTTTTATTTTTCTCTCTCTCTTCCGTTTTATCGTCTTTTTTTTCTTTCTCTCTCTTCCCTTTATCGTCCGTTTTTTTTTTTTTCTCTCTCTTCCTTTATCGTCCGTTTTTATTTTTTCTCTCTCTCTCTTCCCTTTATCGTCCGTTTTATTTTTCTCTCTCTCTTCCTTTATCGTCCATTTTATTTTCTCTCTCTTCTTCCTTTATCGTCCTCTCTCTTTTTTTTTTTTTTCTCTCTCTCCCTTTATCGTCCGTTTTTTTTTTTCTCTCGTTTTTATTTTTCTCTCTCTCTCCCTTTATCGTCCGTTTTTTTTTTTCTCTCTCTCTCTTCCTTTATCGTCCGTTTTTATTTTTTTTTTCTCTCTCTTCGTCCTTTATCGTCCGTTTTTTATTTTTTTATTTTTTCTCTCTCTCTTCCCTTTATCGTCCGTTTTATTTTTCTCTTCTCTCCCTTTATCGTCCGTTTTTTTTTTTCTCTCTCTCCCTTTATCGTCCGTTTTTTTTTTTTCTCTCTCTCTTCCCTTTATCGTCCGTTTTTATTTTTCTCTCTCTCTCTTCCCTTTATCGTCCGTTTTTATTTTTCTCTCTCTCTTCCCTTTATCGTCCGTTTTTATTTTTCTCTCTCTCTTCCCCTTTATCGTCCGTTTTTTTTTTCTTTCTCTCTGTTCTTCCCTTTATCGTCCGTTTTATTTTTTTCTCTCTCTCTTCCCTTTATCATCCGTTTTTATTTTTTCTCGTCCGTTTTTTATTTTCTCTCTTCCCTTTATCATCCGTTTTTATTTTTCTCTCTTACTCTCTCTTCCCTTTATCGTCCGTTTTTATTTTTCTCTCTCTCTCTTCCCTTTATCGTCTGTTTTTATTTTTCTCTCTCTCTCTTCCCTTTATCGTCTGTTTTTATTTTTCTCTCTCTCTCTTCCCTTTATCGTCCGTTTTTATTTTTCTCTTTCTCATTTCCTCTTTGTATTTCTCTCTATTTCTCTCTTTTTCTTTCTGTTTAACTTGTTTCTTCTGATTTCATACTTTTATCTCTTTCTCTTTTTCCAGTGTCAGTCAGTTTGATTAATGGAAGAATTAAATCTGAAGGAATCGTGCGTGTTATGCACAACGCCACCTGGTGGACTATTTGCGACTTTCAATGGGATGAGAGGGAAGCCAGCATTGTCTGCCGAATGTTAGGCTACAGGTGAGTCATGGTGGTTGAATAAAACCAGCCATAATAGTGCATTATCATTAATTTTACACGTAAAGAACACTGGACAAATTTCATTCTCTTTGAAAATGTTTCTTCCTGTGTTAAGATCCTAATTACGCCAAAAGCAGCGTCTTTTTTTTTTTAATTAGCGTTAATTTAAGGCACATTCTCGATATCATTTTTTTTAAATATATTGCATTATTGATATTACTTCTTCCACTGAATTGTTATTTCAAGCCCCTTCAACTGAAGTAGCTTTATTGTTGATTTCAGTTAAGGCTGTTTTCTGTCATCATACCCTACGCGACGACGAAATTTAAATATTTTCAGACATGACGTCGCAAAATAAAATGTCGATGAGGGGGAGGGAAGTCGGATATTAAAAGGGGTAGATAATTTAGATCTCTGCCCTACAGTTTTTTTTGTTTTTTTTTTTATATACATATTTTTTTCTTTTTCTTTGTTCGTTTGCACTTATTTCTGGGGGATGGTGAAGCCTATAGATTTTGCATGCATAAGACTTGTATAAAAGCTTTAGAAACTTGCTTACACTATATTTGGCCTTCCTCAGGTGTATATTGATCTGGGTAACCTACAGGAATTTCTGAACAGAACCCATTATTTAATCTACGGGGATAGACTGTTCTCGTTCCACTCGCCACTTCTTCCACAGACTGTTCCGTTCTAGACAATGTCTAATTATTTTTAGTAGCGCTCATCCGTTTTGTCATTGTGTACGCTATCGTTCATCCACTGCCGTGACAACATGAATTTTGCTCGGCGATCGAAATCACTGAGGAAGTACTAAAGGTTAAAAACAAAATGTATGTTTTAACCAACTTTGGACCTCAAAAATTTGAAAGTTTATGAATTGAAGGGAAGTAGAAATATTTAAAGTGTTTTTTTTTTTCATTATTTTTTTTCCTGGCATCACCAAGTTATCTTGATTCTTGCCGAGTACTCTATATGTGATTCTTTTTCTTTTTTATCATTTCACTCCAAGCAAAGCGATAAAGCCACTGAGAATGAAAGAAAATGAGAAAACTTTAAGAAGAAAGGACAATAAAAAAAAAAAAGAAAAATGGCGACGTTACATTTAAATTTATATGTATATGACTTGTTTCATTTAATAATTTTAGACAAGTTTTATCCGTCCTGGGTAAGACGATAAACTACGTCCAACAGCAAGTCTGTGATCAGGAGGTTTTGAAGAGCGTGGAACCACCACTTAATTGCTGGTGTTCGCAGGTCCACCCTGACCCGGTGTGGTAGCACCTGTTAGGGTCCCAGCTATGGGCAAATAGTCAACTTCGAAACTAAAGGTAAAAAGCATTATAAAAGTGTAAAGATAGGTTTTAATACCAGAAATACTTTGTAAAAAATTATTACCAGCAATATATTTTTGAAAAAAATATTACCAGCTATATATTTTTGAGGAAAAAAATATTACCAGAAATTAGATTTCTGACAAAACAAAATATTACCAGAAAAAAAAAAGTTGTCGGCATTAAATAAACCATTGAGGTTGATATGCCGTAAAACACAACAAACAAGTTTTGTCTACTTATTCTCAATTAGATCCTTTCATATTCACGGACACACTTTTTGGTGTCATTATTAAAGGAAGAGAGAAAATTACTGTGTGTAACATCTGTCAACCCGATAATTTTCTCTCTTACTTTAATAATGAACCAAAAAAATTGTCCGTGAAATTGAGAGAATCTAACTTAACCACCTGATGAGATGCTTATGTTTAGGCATCAAAACAAATATGCATCTTTGTAGTGATTACTTGTTTTTTTCGTATGTAACAACTTATAATAAATATCTATTGCTCATTTTGTATTGAACCCTCTTTTAAATTAACGTTATGAACTTTTGAATTTATATTTTTCTCGTTCTCATTACATTTGGTTATATATATATATATATATATATATATATATATATATATAAAATAACATTTATCGACCTGTTTAATACTGTTTATTATAAACAGAGCATATATATATATATATATATATATATATATATATATGTGAGAGAGGGAGGGAGTCCGGTTGTAGCACTAATTGGAACAACTATATCCCTATATTTATTACTGTACTCCCCCTCTCACTATATTTATTGCTCTTTCTATTTATCGATGTTCCCACCACTTTATTTACTTTAAGTAATCCTTTTTCTCTGAATCGAAAAGTTTTGCTATTTCTGTTAAACTGTCATTTGTGTCTCGTTTCTTTGAAACAAGGTAGTCTTTTTTTTTTTTATTCTATAAATCTGTCATTCGTTTTTCTTTGTTCCAAGAAACTTTCCTACTTAAGGAACTTTACTTCAGATTCCAGTATAACAAGCAGTCTTTTACACTTGAATAAAAAAAAATAATAACTGAACAATGCTGAACTTTTTTTTCTTGAACACAGAACATGCAAAGCTATTTGTCTTGATCTGTTCCATATCCCACAAAGGTCAAAACGGAAATCTATCAACGAAGCGGAAGCTAATAAAATACACAGTCAAATAAATTAGTCTCGTTCCATCCCGTAAATGTGCGTGGTGCTTGCCCACAATTTTAACCGTTTTCAATGTGTGACCTTTGCTCTCATCCTCATCCGGATGTGCCACTTTTTTGAACGGGGATCCTCTCTCATTTCACTTACTGAAAGTGCTAAATAGAAAAAAAATTCTTCCTCTTAACAAAAAGATGACTACGATGATGAAATCGAAAAACCAAGGGGAAGTTAAAAGTTGCTTTTTTAGATTTTTTTTTTTCCCCGGGCTATTAAGCAAATGAATGACAAATTGGGAAAATTCTGTGTCAAGCATTTCGTTACGTCGAACATTGATTCTCAACGTGGACTTGAAAAGTTTGTAAAATGGGCCTGGAGTTGATCTAAGGAAAATCTATTGCCGAGAGAGGAGACTTCTGCCTGAAATTGAACCAAGGCTTCGAAGTTCAACTTGACGATCTGATAGACAGACATCAGAAGCAGTGTACTCATTCGTCGGGATTTATATTTTCTACCACATTTTGCTTCTGGAAATGAAATGTATTTCCTGTTACGTTGAGCTTCTTTTTGTGCTTACATGGGCCTAAAATATTTTTGGTACCACAATTGAGCTACAAGGAAGAAAAGGTTGAGAAGGACCCCATAAAACTAAAATAATGTTTTCGTTGATGGAATTATACATGTGTAAGAAGTGGAAACATAAAATCACAAGTGTCGGTTATAATAATGTACCAACAGGAAACGCTGAATATTTTGGGACACTGTTATATAATTAAGAATATTAGAGAAATTATTAATTGGCAACCTTAAATGTATATTTTTATTATTATCCCATAAAGATGTATTTTTTTTTAATATTGTCACTCCCATAATGATTATTTATTTTAATGTATTTTTATTGTTTGACACGTTTCTTTTCTAAGGAAAAGTTACGCATTTTTATAAAATAATTCTTTTATTTGTTTCTATTTTCTTCTGTAAAACTCTGTTTCGTTCCTTATTTTCAAAAAATGCTTGGTGCTATTTTGGCTTTTTATCGCCAAGGAAGAAATATCTACTTTGGCTACACCGTAAAAATTTTATTCCAGAATGATATTTACATAGTAAAACATATAACACAGAGAAAATGTAATTAATGTTATTTCTTTTATTCTAGCGTTAAACAGAACGTACAACGATTAAAATGTCTACACCGTAGAAATTTTAATTTGGAATGGTATCTACATAGTAAAACATGGTTCCACTTTGGCTTATTATCTACAAGGAAAAGCTAACAAGCCAAATGTAGCACCTTTTTTACTATGTAGATACCATTCCAAATTAAAAGTTGTATGGTGTAAAGATTTTTTTTTCCTTGTAGATAACAAGCCAAAGTAGTCCCGAATGCTTTCTGAGTTTCCGGGATGATGCAAATAGTAATTTAATGCCAGCAGGTATGTAATATAATTGAAAATGTTTTTTTTTTATATATCTTCCAAATTCCTTAAGTGACAAGAGTGGAAAGTGCCCAATAAAGGACAGGTGGTAACACTCAAGTATGGAAAACCAAATAAGAACAACCTGGCCCCACTGAGCTAATTTCCTGAGTTTATTTATTTTTCCTTTTAATGTTCTCTTACGTTCTTCTCTGTCCCAACCCACCTGTCACCATCTGGTTTGTCTTTATCTACTCTCTGATAAGTGCTGCTACATCTAAAACTTTCAAAAAGTATCTACTAATAGAGTGACTGACAAAAAATACCCAGTCCGGGGCTTTATCTTGGAATCTATTTCCCTACATAAACAGTATTACTACGAACTATCCTTCTCATCTTAGGAAATCTAGAATAACCCGATAAACAAAACGGCACTTCTTCAATATTCCTGGTATTTATTTTTTTTTCTCGGTTTATTTTACAGTGGAGGCAAAGTGGTACCGAGGTCGACGTTCCGTAGAGATTATAGTCCAATGCTTTGGGCTGAAGTGCGCTGCGAAGGACCCGAACAAACTTTGACTTCATGTTGGCGCCGTCCTCAATCTCGCTGGCCGTGCAACGTGGAAAATCAAGCGGCCGTCTCTTGTGATTCAGGTAAGCCCCTAATTTAGATTATCTCTTGAACTAGGACATCGCCGTGGTATCGTTTTGGTTCTTTCATGTTATTTCTTGAGAGAATTGGATTACTTGATGGTGCTAATCTCCTTCCCGGGTACTGGATTACATGGCACCAGAAAACGAACCAATCACCAGTATTCCTGTTTATGTTAACGTTTTAAAAGCTTCATTTTCTGGCCTTACAATAAAATGTTTCCTTTTAAAGCATCAGCTGAAAGTATCTTTTGCTCAAAATGTATTCTTAAGTTTCGATTGTCGGTATTATCAGGGCGATGATTTTTTTAAAATAGATTGGGGAGTGTTTGCTCGAGAAAAATCTATAACTAGATGAATGTGGGTGGAACGCTGTAGCTGCGAAAACCCCCTGGATTTGAAAGTTCTTAGAGAAAAATATTAGAAAAGGTAAAAGAGAAAAATGTGAAGAAATAGACAAATAAACAAATAATAAAAAAAAATGGAAAAATTAAGAGAATTAAGGAAAAATGTGTAAACATGCCACGAAGAAAATCAGAAATAAAAGGAATACTAGAGAACTGAAAAAAGAGCAGAATTTCGGGAAGGAAAGTGTTATAATGCTCGTATCAACTCGTACTTCGGGTTAATAATATTCCAAATGAAGACACTGCAAAACAAGATTAGTGAAAGAACTTTTTAATCAAGTGGATTAAGATTAGAATACTAATGGGCATCGTAGTTAGTGCGAAAATATTTGCGACTACTGCCCGACTCCTTTGTGTCCTGCTTGCGACTCTTTTCAAAGTCAGTGGATGTGTCCATGTTCAAGACTTTAGTGTAGCGAAGGTACTTGGTGGGCTTGAGCAAATAGATGGTAGAACAAGGTTTTAGAGAAATAACAAAGACAGAACTACAAGGGACAAGAAGATGTGGAGGGCCATGATCGCCTACGCCCTGAAGAGACACGACACATAAAAAGAAAAATATATATAAAAGAAAGCATATAGAGTAATGATAAAAAAAATTAAAAGCAAAGGAAAAAAAATTGACGCAATTATACAAACGTTGACGAAAAATCATAAATAAAAAGAAATAAAACAAACAAAATATTGTGATTGATTTTTACGGCTTATCAACCTTTTACAAGTTATTTAAAGTCAGGCGATATTTTTACTGATACAATTTTTATTAATTAACGCATAGCTTGAAGGAGGAGAAGAGGTGGATTCATGCCTTTCCCAACAGTATTTGCGCGTACCCGAATATAACAAAACCGACTGGAATTCGGCTATTCGATTTTCAATTCCGAACTGCAATTTATTACACCACCCGCACATCCAAGATTCCAGCAGTTAGTATTCCCAAGCGGTGACCCAACTAAGTACTGACCAGGCCACAAACAAAACAATAAAATAACATAATCTAAACTCAGAATTTGAAAAACTATGGAGAAACAAGAATTTAAACAAACTGAACAAAAAGAAAATTCTAGTGGGAAGGGTGACGAAGAAAAAATGATAAAGAAAAAAATGTTTATTGGAAAATTTTAAAACAACTAAAAAAAAAAAGGAGAAATTTGATATTTATTACCTACGATGCATGGTACCTACATACCAAGATCTTCTTTGGGCGCTTGTAAGAAAACGAAACCTATTCAAAAAGAAAAAAAAAAATCACAATTTGTTGTTTCTTTCGTTTCAACTGACGAGATTCACCTCCGAGTGTTCGGACCCATGACGTCACAATTTCCTTCTGCCTGTTTGATTAGAGAAAATTCGGTTACCTGAACTTTCTCTGGCTTTCTGCATCGAGCAATTTTTCTTGCTCGTTTATTTAAGTTCCTCTGATTTGTGCATACAGAACTCGCTTGAAAATAGCTAAGGAAGATGGCCGAAATCGCTTGGAGCAATGGACAGTTTTTGTACTTCCTCACTCCGAGCAACCACAAAAATGTAAGGACGCTGGAAAAACTAAATAAAAAAAAATAATAATTAATAAAGTTTTTCTTGGTCGTCATATTTAACGAAATAGATTTAAAAAAAGGTTACACACACACACACACACACATATATATATATATATATATATATATATATATATATATATATATATATATATATATGACGTCATACATTAGGAAATGGACAAAGTCAAACAATTTATTAAAAGACATTTTATGTTTTAACATTCTTTTTATAGATACAAGTATTTAAGTAAATGTCTGTTTTAATAAACAGTTTAAATAAATTCAGGCCATTAAACTTTACTTTTAATATAAAAGAATGTTAAAACATAAAATGTATAAAATATATATATATATATATATATATATATATATATATATATATATATATAATTAAAAGTAATTTTAAGAGATAGAATGAGATTAATATGGATAAAAGAACAGATCAATACAAAAGATATACGAGTAATTAAGCAACAAAAATGTAGGTAGGCAAGACATCTAGCAAGAAAAGATTACAGATGGAGTAAAAGGCTGTACGATTACTGCTTATGGGGTATACCAGGAAGAAACAGGCATGAGATAGTGCAGTGCTTATAGTACAGTCCGGTAGTAGATCACCAATACCAGAGTTTCTTTTCAATGTGAATATTTGAATTTACCCTTATATTCAGTGTATACGTGTTAGTAATTTTTTTTTTTTTTACAAAGGACTCGTCACATTAAATAATATCTCTCAGCTGGCCGCCATCTTGCCTACATTGTTTCCTGTTCATTCCTCTATATTTCTATTCAAATTTGCCTTTATTCATTGCTCGCTTCTAGCTCTGTCACATCTCATGCAGTTCTTTATTTCTCTCTCCCCACCCCTCTTTATTATTTTTCCTGCCGCATCTCTATTTCTGGACCGTCCAATTTTCTCTTATTCAAGAAGACTCAATAGTCAAAGAACAACTTCATTGATTAGTTTCAATATCGATCCGTCCCGCAAGGATTTCTCAGCATATGTTTAGCGGCAAAAAAGAAAAACAAACAAAGTCGTCATTTATTTGAACTTCGCTTCTGATCTTGGGTTAAAGAAGCATTTGTTCAAAAATAGCTATCGGAAGAACGTGTCGTGCCCGACTCTAGGTAGCATGTGTATTCTTTGAAGTAGCCGTGTCACTGAATATGGTAAATGATTGTAACATTTACACACACACACACACACACAAATATATATATTTATTCTGATAATTCAGGTAAATATAAAATTCTATTGGCAATGTTTAAACATGTTAAACTACTATACATTTTTACAACTAAAAACAGTTGTTTAAAATATTAAGACATTTTCTTTCTGTACAGGAAATTTTAGAGCTCATTATGGTAGATACGAGTTAGTATGGGATAAGGACAGAATGATCAAATAAAAAAACAAGTCGAATTCATGTAAAACTTGATTAACTAATGGAAATAAAAACACAAAAGTAAAAATGCCAGAATGTCTTCTCCTCCACATCTCATTCTCTGATGAAGCTTTAATAAAAATGAAACATGTTAGATTGATAAAAGTTTCCTATTTGTTTGTGTGTGTACATTGAGGTCAACACCTAGAGGCGGCAGTCTCTTTCAGGTGTGTAGGTGTTGACTTTTATATTTACATAAGCTCTATCCTTAATATTGAGCACTTCCATACAGAAATATAGCATAACTTAAAACACACACACATATATATATATATATATATATATATATTAGCCGAGTTTAAATTCCTGTTCGTTATATTCACTTACGTATGAAGCCACCTTCTCCCCCAGCTATCGGTTAGTTAGTAAGATTTGTATCACTAAATCATTATCTCAAAAGAAAATAAATACTTAGAATCTAAAAATATTTTCTGGCTTTAAATAACCTCTAAAGTGTTGATAAACCGTAGAAAATCAATCACAATCTAACAATTTTAACTGTAAAATGATGAGACAACTTAATTTCTGTTTGTGTGATTAATGTTCTGTGCACTCAGACAGTGCTGTTAATGACAAAATTGCCAACCGGAAATTGTAATTCAAGAAGCGATGAGAAAAAATAATGGAAGCCACGAGCAATGGGTCTCCGTTTGTTATCACTGGCCTTGCGAAATATATCATATTGCAACTCCCGCCGAGTCACGTGATCATCTCATTTTTCCCGCGCCGATGTAACGTTGAGTGATGTTGTACTCGTATCAGTCCAGAAATGGCTCCTATTTTATTTGTTTTGAGAGATGTTAGCAAAGGGTTAAATCCAATTTATTTCTGCAATTTTTTTTTTCTTCTGAGAAATCTTTCGAGCACAACTGTAATATGCGGTTCGGATGCATAAAAAGTGGTTTGGCAGGTTTCGTCAGGGTGATTTTTAACCTAAACGATCAAGTATGCTCCGGTCGATTTTCCGACGTCGATGAAGACCCTCTGTTTGCTATCGTGGGGAATCATTTACAGATTACCAACATTTATCATTTACAGGCTACCAACCCAAACCTGCGCAATAAAATGTTAACTCATAATAATTGCTTAAAAGTCTACTCTCAGACCAGGCGAGGTAAGTTTCAGATCCTCCCATCTCCGTTCATTTCATGCAGAGAGTCATCCTTCGGTAGTTTCTTTTTTTTTTCTTCCTTCCCCTAAAGACTAATATCGCAACTTATTAGGTCCTCAGTCACCAACCATTTAACGAAGTAACCTACCTAGAGCAATGGTATTTTCGTCTCTCACTAAAGTACTCCTTGTGGAAGTTATACTGACCCCGCTATCCTTTTCACATTTACAAACTGTCTACATCGGCTTCTTCATCACGTTCTCTTTAATCCTACCCCTCCTGGAGATGAACTACTGCCATATCTGGGCAGGAACTACAACATTTTCACTTTCTAGCTTTGATAACTCCAAATGTAATGTTACCTATCACATATATTAATCAACCCAGGAAATTAAAAATTTTAAATCAAATTTTGTTTAGTTTTTCTTAATAAATTTTTGGCACTCTTTTGAAATTTTAAATTAAAATTTGTTAAGCTTGCCATGAAGTTGCCAGATAGAACAGCCAGCCTCCGCATTATTGGACACATTCCGATGCTGTATTTTACCTGGGACTCCGATTATGTCGGATTTTTGGAAAGGATATACATCTTTGAAGGGTGAACACAATTATATTCATCTGACTGTAAATCACAGTGGACCCAGAAGCATCAGCTCACACGCAAACAATTGAAAGTATCTGGCTGAACGCCAAAATCTTATATATAAAGTACAGTGTGTTTGTGTGTATCCAAGCAACTCTTCCGTTCCCCACTGGTCCGATTTCAATGATCCATAGCTCATTCAAAATCACTAGGAAAGTTAGACACAGAGAACGATTTTCAGATTCAGAGTTGCCACATTATACGATGTTAAAAATATATATTAATATATTATACTAGCCATTATCGGTATTTAAATGGTTCAAGGGGAGTAACTTTTATTTTCCTTTTGTATCCAAAATTGCAGCTAGCTTAAAATGCGATTGGCCCTGTTCTGGCATCTCGTCTACAGTCACTCTCTCACAGACGCGCCGTCGCCTCTCTCTGTCTTTTTTACAAATACTTTCATGGCAATTGCTCCGAGGAGCTGCATTCGCAGACTTCATGAGTTCAAGCGCCCTACGAGGCTAGCATCTTGCTCTAACACTTTCACTGTCGAAACTACTAAATGTAGCTGTCTCTTCTATTCCAATAGCTTCATGTCTCTTATCTCTCGCCTGTGGAACTCCCTTCCCTATTCCAGCTTCCCTGAGAGCTATAATCTCCAACTATTCAAATGTAATGTCAATCGATATCTCCAGTTGCCTTGATCTATCCGCTATACTTCTCCTCATCCTTTCCCCTTTCACTCCTATCTGATCTTGCTCCAAATCTTCTGTAACCCCTTGCGTCCTAGTGGCTTCCCGCCTTGCTTGGGGTGAAACGCTTAAAAAAAAAAAAAAACTAAAAAAAAAAATTTTAAGCTAGCTCCTGTGGAGGGGGCTCTTGGTTTGGCCATCATCACAATATCTAGAGGGGAGTAGATGCTACAAGCATCAATAAACTACAGAAGAACTCAAAACTGATCGCTGCATTTAAGTACTGAATTAATGTTTAAGCTTACCTTTTAAAAGTTCTACGATAATTTTTCTGCTGCCAGTTAATTTAAAGATGATTGGATGTATGTAGATCCTTATTTTCCGTACAAACAATTATTTTTATTTCATAGGGGAGAGAACAGGGGACAATTTATAACATAAAATTAATATAGTCTAAAGACGGGAAAATAGAAATTAGAATTAGTTTTACATTCAACATTTGAAGAAACATTCTCCCACGAATTCTGAAGTTAAAAAAGACCCAGCTCTATAGTAATTTGTATTTACTCACCCCACCCACACACGAGATCAGATTGTGGCACAAGGTCGGTTTAATGTGGGGAACCCGAGCGCGTACATCCAGGTTAGGAACAAAAATTGCCCGCAACCGTCGGTTGCTCTGGCCTCGGTGCGAGCACTATACCTCTCTCTGGTGCAATGAAAGGCCGCAGCCTCGAGTAGCTGTTTCCCCGGGCTGGGCACCTCTCAGTATAATTTTCTCTGTCCTTTGACGGAGTCGCCCCTGAGTGCACTCCGTCCAAAGAGAGACACGCAACTGAGAGATGATAAATAATGTGATACAGGCCTCTCGAAAGAGCACCAATCGCTCAATATCTGTTTTATATCTTATCTACTTCTAAGCAATATCACTCTTCAGGTTGAACTAGTTCGCATATTGATTTAAAAAAAAGTTTATTTCATTAATTAACAGTCCTTCATTACTGTTCTTTTATTCGAGGATTGTTTCGATTTTCATATAAAAAATACTTGCGTTTTGGGATACCGTCTACATAAGACGGTATCCCAAAACGCAAGTGCAGAAAAGTGTTTGAAATTTGAATTTTACTTCACCTTCAACAAGTTGGCATCTATTCGTAAAACTTTCCTTAACTATAACAAGCCAATTTATGAATGAAATGTTCATTTGATATTTTTATTTCAAAGATTTCAAGTGCTGAATATATTTTACTTTGCGAAGCGATTGCGGGCAAACCTTGCTAGAAAGAACAGATCCATGTTTAGGACTTATCGCACCATGATAGACTATTCTTATTTGTTTGAGTTCCTTTTGAGGCGTAAGGCAAAAAATAAAAATGAGTGCATTTTTGAACAAATTTTGAAGGACATTTCTGAATTTGCGGGTGAATTTTAATAAATATAAATTCTTTTCATTTTATTGCGGGTGGAGGAGGTAACAGAAATGGTCCAGGAAAACAACGAATAACCTACCTCCACGAGCTTTTGTTGCTGGACAGTGATTAGGAGAGACAGCAAAAAGGCAAGCTGCTAATAGTTACAAAGGACAAGAAGTTATGGAAAGCTGTGATCGCCCTCATCCTGAAGGAATACAGCACATAAAAGAAGAATGCATTATATGCTCCTGGTGCTTGAAGTGGTTCACGCAATACATTCGATTTGCAGCTGCTTGTGACGACTAGGTTTGATATTTCATGTCTCATTAATTAATTTATTACTTTTTTTTTTTTTTTTTTTTTAAGATAAAGGCGGCTGGACGTCGTGGTTCCCATGGCGACCATGCAGTACAGAATGCGGCCAAGGAGTTCAGCATCGTTTTCGTTGGTGTGACAACACTACAAATCTCGACTGTACCGGAAGTAACGTTGATGTTCGACCTTGCGGAAAGCAAAAAAGTTGCAATGGAAAGTACTCATTTTTTTTCTTCCTTTTTCTTTAATTTATCCTAACTTCCGTTAATCACATTATGCTTTCATCGAATATCCTTGAAGCATTATGGGATCTCTACGCATCCATTTGTTTTGGGGTTTTTTTTGTTTGTTTTTTTTGTTTGTTTTTTTTTTTTGTTTGTTTTTTGTTTGTTTTTTGTTTGTTTTTTGTTTGTTTTTTGTTTGTTTTTTGTTTGTTTTTTGTTTGTTTTTTGAGTCATCAAAATTGGCTGATAATCAATCATAGCAACCCTTTTTTCCATTTTAAAAAAAATATGAAAATCTCAATTTGAAATTCTTTTAAGAATCAATTATCATTTTTTCTAAACTTATTTTAAGAAAATCAGAAATTATAATATTTGTTTAAAATATTTTGAACCAAGCTTAACTTAGCTTCTGCGCCGAAAAGATGTAATTTGAAAATAAAACAAAGTAGGTGAAATTTTCATGACGTTTAGATAGCTTACGTGAGGATAATTTCTTCCACAGATGGAGAGAAGTGAAGTTATTTAGCTTTAAGTGAACAATTTATTTATCTCGTTATTTTTAAGAAAAACTTTCAGCGCTCTAAATTTTTTTTTTTGTACTTACCTTTCACATTTAAGTTTACGATGCTTTATGGAAAATATATTATAAAGAAATTAAAAAATAAGACTGTTAAGAGTGAGATTAAATTAAGGTATCTAATTAATTTATAGGTACCTTTCTTATAAAATTTTATCAGCAGTGTACATAAAATACTATAATTTTATGTACATTTATTACATTTTACTGTGTTATTTGTATTTCCATTCATTTTATTATTAATTTTGATATTTCATTTATGGAAAAATGTCATAACTGAGATTAATATAAAAATAAGATCATATAAATTTCATAAGATGATACTGATAATTGTAGGTGCCCTTCTGAGTTGAAATTGGAAATAAAATTAACACGTATTTCACAAAAGTAAAGGCCTTAACAGCGGAGAACAATGCTTAACTGAAATAACGCTACTTAATTGTATTCTGGGTCTTCCGTACTTTATAATTACAGCCCGATTATAAACACAAAATTACATTTCTTAATTACTGGGGATCTTCTGATTAGTCAAAATGATACAATTTACAACGCGCTAAAAAAAGATCTATCTCATAAGGACACTTAGGAAACCCGATGCAGCTTTTAACTAATTTATAATATTTTAACAACTTAAAAATCTATTATAATTAAGAAATAACAAATAATTGTATTAAAAATTCATTTTTCATCGAAAAAGTTTTTTGCTTTCAGAAAATATTGTCCGTTAAAACAACTAAAAGCAAATAAAAGCATTTGAAATTAAATAATATCTTTTGTTTTATTGAGTTTTGTATGTTACAATTCAGAGCTGATTTATAGGTAGGGTTTGGGTCCAATTAAAAAAAAAAACATGATTTGCATCCCTCAAAGCCTTGTGCATTTAACTATTGTAATCACTAAACGGGATTCGATCGAATTTCTAGAGTTTTCATAAAATTAGTTATGGAGGGTGGGTAATAAATATAAAAAAAATATTTCTGCCATGACTTTGATAAAAAAAAAAAATATTTATAATAATTTCCATCATCTATGAATAATTTCTGAAAGTTTCATTGACATCCGACAATTATTTTTATTTTTGCAATATTTTTCAAATTAAGGTGTTTTCAAAGGAAAAAACGTGCAAAAAATTGTATCTGTTATTTTACTAGTTCCGCTGATACACTGAGAAACAAGGTTTTTATTTTTAATTAAAATTTAGAATGTTCTAAAAAGAAGGAAAAATTTTTTAAATAATTAAAAAGAAAAAAAAAAACTTTGGTCTTTCCTCTACATAACAACATAAACATTTAAACGATAAAATTTTGTTTTCGTCAAGTTTGGCGTTTTTTTCATCATGCAATGCTCTGTTTTTAGCGATCTCGTGGAGGTACCTATTTCAAAAGTATGGTCGATCATACCCGACACTATCAGAAAACAAGAACGATGATCATAGGAAATTTTAAGTCAACATTCCTGAAATTAGATTACGGAGGATATTTTCTAATATCTTTAAGATTACTGAGTACTTAAAAATTATATAAAAAAGGCGCTCATATCATTTTCTTAAATGTTTTACAGATAATACCTCCACAGAACTACAATCAATATGTCATGCTCTTTTTTTTTTTCAGCGATCTCAAAGTTACCTAACATAACTTTATTAATTCGTTTTCTCCGATTTATCAACTCTTTGCGAGTTATTTAATGCCAGAAAATATTTTTAAGATAATGATTTTCTGATACAAATTTTACTAATTAACCCATAGCTGGAGGGAGAGAAGAGGTTGATTCATACCTTTCCCATGGATATTTGTGCGTAAGTGAATATAACGTACACAACTGGAATTTGGAACTCTGCTCTCAATACCGTGTTATTGTCTATTACACCATCTGCACATCTAAGCTTACAGCGCCTGGTATTCCCAACCTGAGCGGTTAACCATCTAGGTATTATCGCAATTACTAACCTGCCCATGGATCGAACTCACAATTACTATATTACCATGTAAACGGTAGTAGAACAGTACTAAATAAGACCACGACATCTCTAGACATGGATAGCGGAACTAAAATAAAATTACTCCCATAGATTAAATAAAGGGTTCAATTTGAAATTCTGTGAAGGTTATTCGGATCGACAGACACCTAAAGAAGACCGGAGAGTATAACGGCCGCAACACGATTATAATAACAAAGCTGAGGACATTTGTCCGGGTGTAAATAATAATTTCCTTCCTAGAAATTCAGACAGGCTGTCTTATAGTCTGTTTACACCTAATAGTAGTAGTGGATGTAATAGTTTTAAAATCTTTAGATTTTTTTATTTTTTTTTTTTTTTAGGACGAAGCACTTAACTTTTCATCTTACTTTTATTGTTCGTCATATTCTCCTCTCTGATTTTAGAAATGTCGACGTATAAATAGCATCAGTTATTGGATTTTCTATTCCTTTAAACTTGACACTTCGATACTGTTCCAAGTACCCTGGTAATTATAGACATGACAGCTACTTTAATTTTTTTCAGTTTCTCTTAAGGTTTAGATATTTGTCCAGCTTTTCACTTTCTTTCAATTTTACGCTGTCGTCTGCTGGAAAAAAAGTGTGGTCAAAAACCTGACAGGGATTCTCTTTGTTACCGATGACATGATGCGGTCTCTTCTCCTGAACTAGGCGATCCATTTAAATGTCAAAGTGCTAGAGAATTTTACTCATTATACGATTTACAATTGTTTACCCTTTTTTTCTACAATAACGATTTTGCCGTATTTTGTTTATCATAGCCATAATCTGTAACTCTGTCTTTGGACAATGTCCAAAGATCCAATAATAAAAACTCACTTTGGCATTTCAAATGACTTGGAATATCTCCTTTGTGACTATACCCATGCTACTTCATATGCAATTCCTTATGTTTTTGTAAAGATTCACAATTCTTTTTTTGTTTGTAGTCATTATTAGAAAAGAGCGCGATTTAATAAAAGAAAGAAAAGACATTATGGAAGCTAACATAGGTTACGTGTTTGTTTGTATTTTAGGTGTGTGCGTGTTCACATATAATAAACAAAGAAGAAGCATACAAAAGGTTTGTGTTTCTACTACAGACCGTTTATTTTCATATATATATATATATATATATATATATATATATATATATAGTAGTGGAAAAAAGTTTTCAATGTCTCTTGATACGTTAGTTTTTTTTTTGTTCAGAATTAGGATAAGTAATAGTTAAAATGGTTGAAGTCAAGTCAGCTTTGCGCTAAGTTGGAACGACTAAAGTACTTGCTTCATGAGTAGGACTGCAAGGCACGTCCGAACGATATCGTTGGAAAGTGGAAGACCCTGTCCTTTCCGGAAGTGGGGTCATAAAATTGCGTAGATGACCAAAAAAAAAAAAAAAAAAAAACTTTTCGGTTACTTTATTACTTGCATCATTGGAACTTTTTTTATTCTCTATTATTGTTTTATTTCATTTTGCCAGAATGTATGTCAGTTTTCAAGTTGTTTAAAAATGCATTCATGTATAAAAAAAATAATAAATACTAGATTAGCGGCAAGGTCTCATCATTTTACAGTTGAAATGGCTAGATGTAACCGTAGCAGTTTCTTCTGTCGCACTTCTTGTTTGTGGAAGTCTCTTCTTACTTCCCGGTCAACTTTGATCTTTAAAAATTTAAATGCAATGTCAATCATTACCTTCTTAATTCTTATTCTTTTATTGCCCTCGCTCCTTAATAGTAATTTTTCTCATTCTCTAACACTCAGTAACCACTTGCTTCCTAGTGGATTTATTGCCTTGCTTGGGTGAAATGATTAAAAAAAAGAAGTATTTATAGAAGCGTCGCTTTTCTTGAGAAAAACGGTTGTACTTGTAACTAACGTGATGGAACGCAGTCAGCGTGAATGTTATGCAACTGAAATGCGCGTAACATGATGGTGATCGTGTTCACCTTGAAATTTTCCTTAGTTGATTAGTTAGAACAATTAATCCAACAGTTTAGTATAGATTTTATGTAATTCTCCCATCATTTTCTTTTATTCCCCCAATGGGGTGGCACGTTTGTAGTTTGCATATGTCATTATCTTCATGCTGCTTAAAGGTTGTGAAAGATCGGTGGATATTTTTCAGAATGTGGTCCTTAAGATGTTCGAAATGACAATCGTTTGTGATAAAACGTTCGTAATTTTTCTATTTTTTTTTGGGGGGGGGTAATAAATTTTTATAATTGTATGCAATTTTTAAATATAACTTAAACACAGACATTCTGTCGAAATACTTTTTTGTTAAACACTTTAAGCACTCTTTTCTTTTTTCTTAAATCGCTTTCTTCTCTAAATGTTGCTAAAATTGAAAGAGTTACGTTAATCATTTATATTATTGTTATTTTTGTCATTATTTTTGTGATTGTGTTGTTTGTTTGTTTGTTTGTTTTTTCCGAGGGTGCCTTTTGATTGGTGTAGTATGATTTGCCCCCAAGAGTTACCAGATACAAGTTTTTTTGTTTTTGTTTTCTTTTGTTTTTTTTTTGTTTGGTGGGGATTGTATCAGAAGATGCAAACAAATGAGAACCGTGCAATCAAAGAGAAAAAAAAATGTAATTTTGGTCACTGAATGCATAGAAATCTACTCAAAATGTTAGTACCTATGAACATGATTTTTTTTTTTTTTTTCACACATGTTTTAGGGCTTCCAGGAATTTGATCCACATATATTTGCTCCTATTAATATAATTCCCAAAGACCTATTGAGAACAATTATTATTAATATTTATTATTCCCTTGCTTTTTGTTGCATACACATTTCCACTCTGGGTTCCAACAAGAAACCTAGTCAGAAATGGCTTAATAAAATATTCCACTGATCATTCAAAAAAAAACCTAGATCACACACATTTTTCCATAAAGCTCTTTGTAATATGTGAGCTGTACTTGTGAGTACAATTTTTTTAATTTCTTTAAGGCCTGAGCTACCCAGGAACCCCTTCAATTCGTCTATCGGAACCCTTTTCCAATAATAGGAGTTGACATGTCGTTAAAACCAACATCCATCCATCCTTTTCCAATAAATACGAGGGTCCCAACTACAACTGGAATTATCGATGTTCTCATGTGCAACATCTTTGAGATTACCACTACGAGATCCTTGTATTTTGATATTTTTGAAGATCTTCAAAGATACATTACAATTTGCAGAGATTGTCATGTCAATAAGAAAGCACATTCTGTCTTTGTGTTATTTGATCACGATGTCTGTGCGATTAGCTTTAATTGTTCTGAATGTGTGTGTGTGTGTGTGTGTGTGTAAAGCCCAATAAAATTGTTACAGGTCCTAGTGGGATGTTCATATTGATTTCCTTCTCGTAAAAGTTGCATATTTTCCAGGTCAGATATTGGCCCACTTTATTATGCCGAGTTTTATATTCAGTTGATGATGATGATGATGCTTCTACTACAACTACTATTATTATTATTATTATTACTACTATTGCTACTACTACTATTATTATTACTACTACTACTATTATTATTATTACTATTATTACTATTATTATTATTATTACTACTATTATTATTACTATTACTATTATTATTATTATTACTACTATTATTATTATTATTATTATTATTATTATTACTACTATTATTATTATTATTATATTATTACTACTATTACTATTATTATTACTATTACTACTACTATTATTACTACTATTATTATTATTATTTCTTCTTCTTCAGGCAATAATACAAGCGTCAGGGGCGTCGTCGTCTTTGTTTGGATGAACACTTTCCTCTCTATATTTTCTCTCTGCGCGTTGACGTTGATAGCTGTCATCTCGTTTAAACTGTGGCATCAAAGACAGCGACTTCCGGTCAGGTGATTTTTCCGCTTGATACAGTCTTTTAGTCTTCCGAGAAAGAGGTCCTAAATTCACATAAACGCCGGTGAGCGAGAAGAACAAGAAAGAAGAAAAATAGTGATAGACTGAGGGGGGGGGAAGAGAGAGAGAAAAGGTGATGGGGGTTTGTTGCGCGGTGTTTCATCTCTTCCAATTTCTATGCATGTTTTCAAAAAGGAAAGATTGCCTTCGTTGCTTAAGTCAAAGAGTGAATTATCGTTTTGGCAATCTTTTCTTTTGTTATTGTTTCTTCTATATATTAAAGTTCTTGTTTTTCAACATGAGAGTTGAAGCTTTTTTTTTTCCTTTTATTTGTCGATTTATTTTAGATGCATTATGCGTTCTATTAGCTTCAGCCACAAGTAAATGTGCAACGAATCATACAGCACTTATTTCAATTAACCGCGTTACTTAGAACGATTATTTTGCTACTTACATAAATGTAAAAGCAGACTTCGTTGCCAATAATATAAGCGACTATTAAAAACAAAAGCGGGGGCGCTGTTGGTTAGTTGCGGGTAATTTGTTTAAATAATGCCCTGACTATTTGCATCACGTGACAATAATTCTAAGTAAAATGTGTACTAAAAAAAGTAACGAAGTAATCGTTTTAAGTTATCTGAAAATCGTTAAGTAATTCCTGTTTTGGTAATATTTTGAAGAATGAAGTCGATAATCAAAAACGGAAATTATTTATGACCAAAGGATTGTTGTTTTTGTTTTTTTTTTTAATTTTTTATTTTTTTTTTTTTTTAATTTCATATTTCAGCGGGTTTTAAACTTTATATACAAGAAGGAAAATTGTTGGAAGTTATAATAACGCCTTTCCGTGTATGTTAAGCCATGTACGAGAAATCTACTGGTACGAAACCCGAAATCCACTGAGGTTGATGTGTTATGGGAATTTGGACGAGATAGTTTCAAGTGATCTTTACTTTGGTTACAAAACTGACACCAAAAAATATTAATTTGAACAAATTTTAGAGATCAGAATTGAACGTAATCTAGGAATTGGCTCATCGTTTGCTATATTGCTTTCCTTTTTTCTTCTTCTTGCAACGTACACATACACACGTAGATAAATAATATTTTTAAAAAAAAATTAATTCATATATCTCTGCGGAAAAATTCTTAAGAAATAACGAAAGTGTAGGGAAGTGATTTTCCCTTAAATGTAAAGTCATTTGACATTTTAAATATTACTTGTGGAAATTTTAAAATGTTACTATTTTTTCTTTTCTGACTACACCATAAGACGAGTTCGGACTTCGAGAAGAAATTACGATATTATGGTATCCGAAGTATCACTGTTGTAAAATCTCTGTAAATGTGACGTTTTGGGGATAAAGTACTATAGTCACTTTTGTATATTTTGTTTTCAGTAGTCGTCTTCCTTTTTGGTGGTAAATGATGGACTATCTCCTCACAGTTGAAGAAACTTAAAGCAATCTGGTTCTGCAGAAGGATGCTGAGAATATCATTGACTGAACAAATGAGTGAAGAGGAAGTATTAATGAAAATGGAAACAAAAAGGACCCTTCGAATCAGAAGGTTGAAGTTTCAAGCACACGTAATGAGGAAAGAAGGATTTAAGAATGTGACACTCACAGGTCATATGGAAGGAAACAATGATGTTGTCTAAATGAATAGCAAAATAGCGACTGGTCTAAGTTGCTACAAAGGGTGTAAAGTTGTGATGAGCCATGATCGCCCAAGTCCTGAAGAGACACGACACGTAGAAGATGCCCTTAAAGTGTTAAACTCTACAAGCTCTCTTTCATGATGCTCCTACTAAAATTTGAATTGTCTCTTTCTGATTGTAAGTATAAATTTTCTTGTGGAACCTGTTTTCCTTAAAACTTTCTCATTGTTCATATATTCTGTCTGTGATATTCTTCAACAGCAGAACTGCATCTCTGTTGCTTCAAGTAAATTATTCAGCAGTTAGGAGATTTTCCAGTATTGACGACCATGTAGACAGTATATAGCGGTCTTGCTTGTATTGAAATTTTCTTGTCTCTTAATACTGTTTCTTAGTTTCTGGAAAACATCTTTCGCTATCCGTAGATTGCGGACACATCGCGTTGAAACACCGGTTTCCGTCCGATCACCGAAGTTAAATAACGTTGATCCTGGTCAGTACCTAGATGACTGACCGCTTGGGAATACCAGATGCTCTAAGCTTGAATGTGCGGGTGGTGTAATGGATCGGAATTGTTAACTTGAGAACCGAGTTCGAATTCCCGTTGGTTTTGTTATATTCATTTACATACAAAATATGAATCCACCTCTCCTCCACCAGCTTTAATTAGTAAAACCATTATTATTTATCCCCCCTACACACCCCCCAAAAAAAATCTTACAATCTAAAAATATCTTCTGGCTTTAAATAATCTTCAATGTGTTGGTAAGCCGTAGAAAATGATTCAGTCAATCAATTCGCTATCCGTATTTATGTATCGTATTTTCCGTCATGTGTTTCTACCCAGATAGTTGAATATTTATAACGACAAGATCTTGACGTTTCCCAGGCGTAGTTTTCAATGTAATTAGTCTTTAAATGCTTTCTTCTTTATTTGTAATTGTAAAAAAAAAATGTTAATACAGGAAATTGTCGTTTGTTTTATTGTTTTGTATTACTCATTTTTACTTGGACACACATTGAATCCGCCAATATTGTTTGTGGGATAAATTTTCCAGGAGCCTGTATATATTTACTCTCCATAGTGACTAAAACTAAATATTTGCACAAAACATGCAAGCGATACTGTAACATTCTCACGAAATAGTAAAATTTATAAAAATTAAATGGTTAGAGTTCTCTCCCTTGATATTAGATTTTTATTTTCTTTTTTTTTTAACTTTAACAAACTAATGCAAGGTAGACAACTACTGTTATATTTCACTTTTACTGGCTAAAATAACATTTCACACTCGAAGCATTGTAACAATTCGTTAGTTCTTGTAAATAAACTTCTAGTTACTTAAATTTTCGGTTACTGAAAATTTTAAAACAAATTTTTCATATGCAAAAATTTAAACTGATTTTCTGCGGATATATCTGTCGGTGTAGTGTGTACAATTTATTTATTATTAAACTTGAAAGTCAATAGGGGATCCAGTTTTCTATGTAAATTCATTGTAGATGGTAAAAAAGGAAATATAAGTTTGATTCCTGTCGAGGGGTACATTTTTCTATCGTGTGACCTCTCGATTTACACCGACTGACATTAATTTCACTGTTTAACAAAATTAAAAAAATACAAGGAAATTCACGTTAATACGACACACATGCACATATATATATATATTCAAATATTTCATAGACATATCATGCCTATCTATTTTTATGATAATCCTTTCTAGTTCTCTAATAAGGTTCCTGATGTTAAGATGAAATTCATCGAAGAAGGCGACGTAGTTTTTTTTTCTTACCCCAATACAGGAAAATACTTGTTGTTAACACCAATACACCAAACAAAAACTTCAAATTCTCGAGGTCCTCTATATCAAAAGCAAGCAAGCAACCAACACTGACCAAAATTTATTACGAGTGTAGCAGCATTTAGCAGTCGTTGAGCAGTCTCTGACTGTGTGCGACTTCTGTCGAACTCTCTGCTTTGGCAGAGAGGAACCCGAACGATGCTTTGCCGAAGGGCAAAGCTTTGTCCGGAGAGATAGACAGGCCCTGAACCCGTCTTAGCGCGTTCAAAGGGAATATTTTTGGCCGAGCCTACGGGCTCGGAGTAACCCACGTTAAACTCGGCCTTGTGCCACATACATTCCTTGTGGGGGGGGACTGTTAAATATAGCAGCATTTAGCCAACACCATCTAAATAGAAGGGCTGTTCCAATGGCAGAGTTTATCTGTTAACATCATTATATGTAGTATAAACTCGAAGAAATACTTTCATTAGTTTTTACTGTTTGAGTTTTCTTGATTTGATTTTCTTTATTTGTTTTGTAAATATTTAGTAAACATTTTCACTAAAATAATTTACAAAGAAAATGCCGTGTGGTTGTGTAGTCCCAAAATGCCAAGGAAATTATAAAAATGGACTAAAGGTCTAAAAGTGAATGGATTTTCATTTCCAAAAGATAAGGATTTATCAGATACATGGATATGCGGTATCAAAAGGAAAAATGTTGTACCAAACAAAAATAGTAAGGTGAGTAATTTAATTTATATTATTTCTTGTCTATTATTTGTAAAATTTGTAAATGATTAAATTAATTCCATGGTTTTATAATACATGATACATTGAAACAAAGTCATGACGTGGCTTCGACACTTAAAAAAAAATTGAATTCTGTGGATGAAATTATTAAACTCTTCATTTCACATTTTTATGTGTACTCTTGTGTAGGTTACAGTATTGAAAAAATAGAAATAATTCTTGTCTGGAGCTCTTCACGTGTTCTTTTGAATAATTTTTGTGCTAAGGAAAAATAATATTATTACGAGAAACCAGTTAACCAAAAAAGATAACTTAAAATCTTCAGCTAAATTTCCCATATACTTGTGTAACAATTTTTCTACAATTATTTAAAATTTGTCTTATTTTCTACACAAAAAAATGTTAATATTTTAAGTTTACTACTACAGAATAATTAAAATAAATCATGCAAATTAAAACCATGTCGATTTTTATTGTAAAGAAAATGCTTTTCAAATAAATTTATACAATCAAAATAAGGAGAATGAATTTTTGCAATGTTTAAATTCAATAATGGAACGTACACTATTTACTTTAATATAGCAACAAATGTAAAACTTTAAATAATTTTCCTTTAGAAAATAAAGTTTACTCTAGAGTAAAAATTGAAGCGTGGTTTCTTTCTTTTCTATTGTAATAAAAAAATATTCTGTCAGCATAGTAACTTTATGCAATAATCATTAAAATAAAAACGGATTTTTAAACTATTATTTGTTTGTTCTTTATTTAAAGTTGTTAGGTAGAAATCGAACCCTGGTTTGCTTTTCTTCGTCTAATATAAAAAAATTATTCTCAAAATTTCAGTTGTCAGTATTGTAACATTTAACGGAATAAAACGTTTTATAATAATATTTTCTTTATTTTTATAAATTAATATTGAATAAAACTGTAAGATGAAATTAGAACACTTTTTCCTTTTTTTAATTGTAACTTAAAAAGTATTCTATACTTTTTTTAAAAAAGCTGACAATCATTCATTTTCTGCGGCTTCGCTTCGGCTTATACGGCTTGTGTTGATGTCACGTTTCATCGAACAGGCCTTCTGTCTCGGCAGTGTTGATTTAACCATTATTTAAATGCAACTTGCATTTCTAACTTTTTTTTTCCTTACACTGAAACTTTTGTTTTGCAAAATTTCCATAGCTACAACTGATAATTTTAAAATAATTATAACAGAGCACGTTCACGTTCATTTTTTTAAAAAAATCACCATCACAACGATCAAAGTTACAATACGTTTATCTTTGTAATTCACCCCTGAGGACATCCATAATACTTGGGTAAAAAAAAAAAAAAAACTATGACGCCTTGATGAATTTCATCTTAATATCAAGAAACTGATCAGAAAACTAGAAAGGATTATTATAAAATAAACATACATGTCTATATTATTCAATGAAACCTGTTTGAATAAAGATATGCTGCTTATATATATATGTGTGTGTGTGTTGATTTTTTTTTTTTTTATGTTTGAAATATTTACTCGCTATCTATTATTTTTGTAATATTGAATCAATGTCACCTTTAATCTTACATTTATTTTCCTCCTCTTGTTAAAGTTCTTTTTAAAATATATTGCCAGTAAATTTTCGAATGATAATCTATTAAAAATCAATTAGTAATTTGTTGTATTTTCTCTCGTTTTCTTTTTTAGGGTAATAAATTTTTGGCAAAATTGTACTACTGCCATTTTACAATTTACAGTAAAGAAAAGACTATTTTATCTTACGGTTAAATGACAATCTAAAAACACATGATGCTACAAACTAAATCTTTCCGTGGCCGGGGAAAAAAGTCACAACCTGGTTTTACTGCGAGTGACATATTTAATATACATGAAAACATTGTAGCAGATTTTTTTTTTTATTAATGTCAATAATTTACAAATATTGTTGATCCACAACAGCACAGAGACCCTACACTATTCATCCTGTCTTCAGATTTAGGTTATTTAAAAAAAAAAGGTTTATTAAAGAAAGACGTAGAAACAGTGTTTCGGCCTTGTGCCACAATTTTGTACTTTTACAAAATAAATATAAAAACGCAGAAACATTGCTAACATTGCCCTGTGTCTTTCTTCATTGAAATATATTTATTTGCATATTTTGTTCTACTACCAAAAAACTAATTATACTGAATTATACATCTTAAAACGAACACATTCTTAATGTCGATATGAGAATGTTAAACAACCTTATAAATTTAGTGTTTTATTTATTTATTTTATTTTAACAACTTGAAACAATGAAAAGAAAGCCAAGGGACGTAACTCTTAATAGAAAATAACATCTCTGGTGTTTGGTGACGCACTAATGTCATTACTTTAAGTGTTCTTTGTAAGATATTTTTCATAAGATTAGAATTTATATTAGCAAATGAAAAATTGACCATTGATGACAATTCCAGAAACTATAAACGATTTTTTTTTTTTGCTATCCTCTGCCAGCCGCAATGATGGAGAAAGCATTACCCCGAACCATCGCCAGTGAGAAAATGCAAAATTATCTTCAAAATCAACTTATCTGTAAAAAAAAAAAAAAAAAAGTTTATGAAAACCTTAAAAGATACACGCTCATATAATGAAAATATATATAAAAAATTAGCCAGTTTTGTTGCGAAAATATATTTTGCACACACGTTTATATATAAAGTTTCATTAAAGATGACTGACAAGGTCCTGCGATTTAAGCCTTTTATTCAATTTTTCTTGTATTCGTACAAGTGCTTTTTTTTTCTTTTCTGGACCTAAAATGTATAAAACCTCCAAATGTTTTATATATCCGAGCACTTCCCGCTATTTTATTATTCATTACGAAGTTTATTTATTGTGCAAAATACACAATTATGGCACAAGGCCAAAATGGGAGGGGTTGAGGCTGGTCATCACTAACTATCTTATACCTAGCTAAGTATTGTTTTAAAAACTCAATTTGTAGATTTTTATGTGTGTCGATAGTAAT